CCCTCGGCTAGCCTGAGGCAGCATCTCCACGCTCTAAGTCCTCATCTGATGCCCTGCCGGCACTGCTTCCGGCCATCCTTAACCCCAGTTCAGGGTCCACTCTGTGTGGACATGCTAGTTCGAATTAGCAAAATGCTAATTCAAACTAGTTTTTAGTTCTAGACGCGTTAGTTCGAATTAGCTTAGTTCGAATTAACTAATTCGAACTAAGTTAGTTTGAATTAGCGCTGTAGTGTAGACATACCCTAAGTGTGCAAACAGTGTCTAGTCCCAGCCTAGCCCCTCTCCAAACTTGACAACGGGAGACAATGCCAATATAAAACAAACATACCTCTCATCCCGGTAAAAGGGACCTCAGCCTCTTACCAGACAGCTGCTGGGGCCAAGACTGGGCAGGAAGGAGGCCTGCCGTGGAGTGCCACAAGTGTGAGCCTGTGAGGGGAATTCCAAAGTCCAGAGCTGCACCACTGAAAATAGCTGGCCCCATCCTGCTTGAGCCGGGGGCCTGTTCGCTCAAGTCCCTCAGCCGCCAGCCAGTGCCCAGCGGAGGAGAGCCATCGCCTGGGTAATAAAGTCTCAGCTCTCACCTTCCAGCCTCTCTCTGTTCCTTCTCCCTCTCTCTTTCTCTCTGGCTCTCTCTCTCACATACACGCCTGGCAGGAGCAGGCAACAGTGGCGAGGCAGGGCAGAGGCAGATTTCCCTTCCCAGGAATGCAAGAAGGCCTCAGCAAAAACAAGTGCTGACATCCCTCTCCCCTGCCCAGGAATGTGAGCTGTGAACTCCCTTCCGAGAGAAGAATCCAGCCAGGTGGGCGGGAGGGGGCTGGAAGCATGACCCCCCTGCTCAGGGCAGAGACCTTCCAGCGTGCGGCTTCCTTTCCTCCCCAGCCAGGCAGCTGCACACTGACCTGCCCTCCTTTCACAGCACCTCTCCCTGCACTTCACCTGGCCAGCCCCCACAGCAGATCTCTGGCAGGATGTGGGTTGCTCGGAAGCAGGCCCCCCTACCTCCTGTCCTGGCACACACATCACTTGACATTCCTGTCCAGTCCAGATGTCCAGGCTTTACAGTGGCAAAGGCCATGCTGGCAGCTTGCCAGCAAGCTGCAGGCTGCACCTCTGCACAGACAGTTGCATGCCTTGGCAGAGAAGAAGAGGCCAGGCTAGGCGTCAGGTGCAGCAGCAGCTCTCAGCTCTCCAGACCCGGGGGTCGCTGGGAGGCAGAGAGGGGCTGTATTGTACAACTCACTACACTGCCAGAGCTGAAGTGGCCTCAGAAGTCGGGCCCAGCGAGGGAGTGGCTGAGTCCAGGCATCTCTCTGATGCTTCCTAAAGTCAATGAATTACAGCGGGTCAGCAGGTGGTGAGCAAACTGTCTTCTCAGAATCTCAGAATCATTAACCACATCCGGGCAAACACCCCTTGTGGTGGAGAGGCGCTGGCCAGAGGGTGCCTGGGGCCAGAAACTGAAGATGTTGCTCTCAGAGCTGCAGAAAAGCAGCTTTTTGCTTGTCCTGGGGAATCTAACATTTCCTAGCAGCATGTTGGGGGGGCGGGAGGGGATGCACAACATGCCACATAGTGAGTTGTAAAATACAGTCCCCTCTGCCTCCCAGTGACCCCCAGGTCGGGCCAGAGCTGAGAGCTGCTGCTGCACCTGACACCCTGCACTGCTACATAGGGCTTGTCACTGCCTCGAAATAAGGTGCAGGTCGACCTATTATGATTCCTAGGCCAGGTCTTTTACTGCATAGGCTAGCAGGGGAGGACAACAGGGTGTGTGCCTGGGGGCCCTAAGGATGCTATACAAGAAGAGGGCTGGGTTCAGTCCCTCCTAGTGCCTTCCTTATAGGACTAATACTTTTTTTGTGTCTCTCTAGCACCCCTAATGCTCACTGGTTCCCCCCCCACACATACCTCCTTTCCTCTTCCTTTCATTTCACCCCCAAGGGCCTTACAGCTGGCCATGCTGCATGCAGTACAGGACCCAAAGGAGGGTGGCAAAGGCGACTTAAAAGTCACCGTTATATTCCCCTGATCCTGGAGCTATCTAGAGGCCAACTTGGGCCACTGGATAACTTGGAGCAGCCTCAGGGCTGCTTTTCGTCCTTCTATCTGCAACAGCCCCCGGGGCTGTTGTGCCAAGTGGTGCTCTGTGGAGCACAAAATCTGCCATTCATGGGGGGAGATTCGGGGGGTATTGTGTCATAGAATCATAGAATCATAGAATAATAGGACTGGAAGGGACCTCGAGAGGTCATCGAGTCCAGCCCCCCGCCCTCAAAGCAGGACCAAGCTCCGTCTACACCATCCCTGACAGATGTCTATCTAACCTGTTCTTAAATAACAGGTGTCCTCCCGCACAGCATACAGTGAAATTGGAGGGCTCAATTTAAAGGTTCAACTGCCCTTGGACAGTTTGCCACACACACCCCTGCCCAGGCATGGAAGGGCCTGGCTGCATCATGTGACTGAGCAGGGCAGGCTCTGAGTCAACAGGAAGCCCACGCAGGGCAGTAGGGCAGCCCCACCCCAAGCCCCTGGAGGCTGAGTGGTTTCTAGCCAAGGTTTCCAAGACTTCCTTCTCAGCTGGGGGCGCCTATATAATAGCCCCCCAGGACCCTGGTTAAATCCCCCCTTGCCCTGCCCCCCCTCCATACAGAAGTAAAACTATGCCTAATCTGCCATTCTCCCTCCCACCGCCAACACACCCTTGCACCCGGAGGACCTAGAAGCAAGTGGCATAGTAGGTGGGCTCCCCCAGCCATCGCAAAGGGACTTCCTATCTGGCTGCTACAGCAGCCTCCTGTCCCCTTGCTCTCTTGGAGCAGGTCAAAGGCATGGACTGAGGACCAGTGATCTGGCCCATCAAGGGGAACCCGCCCCTCCACAGAGAGGCAAAATTGGAGAAAAGGGGGGAGCGAACCTTGGCCCCTCCTGCATGAGGTCAGAAGGCCCAGAGGCTGTTCTGGCTGGAATGGGAAAGGAGTGTATGTGCACCCTCTATGAGGTGCCCTGCAAGCAGTAGGTGGGAGAGAAGCCAAAAAAGCTGTAGTGACCTGGATCCTCTCTCAAGGAAGAGGACATGGGGCCTCCTGCAGCATGTAGGCTGGAGCCACAGCAGTTGGAGATGTTTGACTCTGATTCTATGTCTTGGCGAAGGGAGCATTCCTCCCTGTACGCCCCACACAACTCTCCCGCCCCACTTCGCAGGCTGGCTGTGGGAAGAGAGGGCTTAGCCACTAGCAAACAGGCCCTTTCTGTTTGGTGCTGCATTACTTTCAAGGTTGAGCATATCGCAGCTCGAGGATGAGATCAAACGATTGAGTTGCATGCTCTGTTTGTGAGATTTGATTTATCACCCGTGTTCTTCAATATTCTTCTGCTCACTAGCATTCCAGCAATGCCTGGCTCCATGCTGCTAGTCCTGATTTATTCCTGAGGCTATGCAAGCAACACAAAATTTGCTCTGTACCCACCCCAGTTGCTCTGGGTAAAACAAGAGCAACTGCCCCTTTGCTGTGGTTAAAACGAGAAGAGTTAACTTGTTGTCACTGGCTCACTCTCACTCTGTGGGGCCAAACTTCAGTCTTTCCAGAGCCAGGCACCAAGTGGCTACTGCACAGTGAGGTGGGAGAACTTAACCCCCAGTCTCCAGTCGGCATTTAATGCCAGAATCAGTCTGCTGCCTCCAGCCGAAGGAATCAATTCTCCGGTTGCACATGAATGATCAGAAGCAAGTACAAGCTGGCGGCTCTGAACTGAGAATGACTCACGCTGAGACAGTTCTTGCTGCTAGTTACTCTGCTGGAGCCAACCAGAGTCAGCTGCTCTCTCACTCGCTCTCTCTGTTTAATGAAAAGATTTTCTGAGCAAGATGTCACAGACTTCAGGCAGCCATTTACATGGCACTACTTGGACACCAGACACTACCATTCCCAACTGGCAGTCCTGCTCACCTGCTTCCCATTCCCTCGTGCCTGTGGTCATGACTGCACAGGGCACAAGGGATCAAACCCAAGCTATTTTTCAGAAAAAAAAGTGATTCCATAAACCTTACCCACAAGAAGGACTCTTACCATGGGGCTTATCCCATGCCAGGGCATCATAGTTTTGTGGAGCTGGGACAACAAATGAACAGGTTCATAGCTATGTAGGTTCCAAGGCCGGAAGGGACCACTGTGATCATCTGGTCTGTCCTCCTGCATAGCATGGGCCACAGAACTTCCCCAGAACAATCCCTATAGCAGAGCTTTCAGAAATGCATCCACTCTTGATTTAGATACTGCCAGTGATGGAGAGTCCACATGACCCTGGGTAAATTAGCCCACTGATTAATTACTCTCACTGTTAAAAATGTACACCTTATTTCCAGCCAGAATTTAGTTTCAGCTTCTGCCCATTGAATCAACTCACGCCTTTCTCTGCCAGACTGAAGAGTGCACTGTCAAACATGTATTCCCCATGTAGTTACTCACTCAGGGTATGTCTACACTACAGAGTTAGTTCGAACTCACGGACGATAGTTCGAACTAACTTTCATAGGCGCTACACTAGCGCTCCGCTAGTTCGAACTTAATTCGAACTAGCGGAGCGCTTAGTTCGAACTAGGAAAACCTCATTTTACGAGGATTAAGCCTAGTTCGAACTACAGGCAGTCCCCGGGTTACGTACAAGATAGGGACTGTAGGTTTGTTCTT